TTCTATTTATACTATTTTTGATTAATCGAAATAAAGCTAAAATAAACTAAATGTAAATATTACACGAAAAACCTACTTCTAAAACCTTTAGAAAATTAGAAATGTTGGCCTTGGCAACTAACTGAAATAAATCATTTTAAACTTAAGTACTAAAATTGCAAAAACCTAAATAAAAATGAATTAAAGCCATAAAGAAACATATATATATATAAACAAATAAAGAAATATATATACAAAACCACATAACCAATTAACTAAAACAGACATTTTAACAACCTTGTTCAAAATATTTATAAATAATATGTAGGTATTATAAAAGGTAAAATAATACTAAAATAACATTAATCAGTATGATTTTCTTCTATTAAGATGAAAACTGTCTAGGTGTTTTCTGCCCATACAGTGGAAGTCAATGTCATGCAACATTTCTTCAGGACTCCACAGACTTTCATTGCACAACCAAAACAGTTCAAACATTTTTCAAAATGTCTTCTTTGTTTCACAGAAGAAAGAAATACATACAGGTAGGTTTGGAATGATGACAGAATCTAAATGGGAATATAACAATCTGTTAATATAAAAGAGTTAAAGTGGTCAGGCGTACAGATGTGTACTCACATATTTGAATGGCAGGAGTGCTGCCACAGCGACAGCCATATCTGCCAAAGTCACAGCCTCTCCTACGAGGAACGTCCGCGGTGCTAGAGTCTCGTCTAGAACTTTGAGAACACGCAGCAGCTCTGCTCTGGAACTCTGCTGAAGCTCAAATAAAAGATCAATTGATATTACATCAAATGTAATAATAAAAAATAGTGCATCATCTCTTTTTATTTAAGAGAGTTGTGTACTCGCAATGTGCCTTTTGTTGGCTATCAATCAACACATGACGCACACTGACAATCAGAGCATCAGGTGATAATGCATTTTGATCATATATGGGCCCTTACAGACAAATATATACCTTCTTATCAACCCCCATGATCCCCAGCAGAGGGAATGTCACAGCACAGGCCACCGGCGTCAGCTCGTTCTCAGCAAAGCTCAGCCATTGCCAAACCTGACTTTCCTGTTTCTTCTCGCTGCCTGTCCGGTTGCCCGCTGCTGCCAGGTACCAGCTCACAGCATTAGCACCGGTGAGCACTGTGCCCCCCACGCCAGCTAAGACCAGCGCAGGGCGAGATCTGGCCACCTCAGCCGGAGGGTCCTCATGGACAATCCGTGGAGGAGATCGACAGAATTCAGCAGCGATCAAGGGCAACAAACTCCTGAAGTCATCAGGGTGGGAAGAGATGTATAGAGTGTCCATCTGACAGAGAGATATGAGAGCCATGTCAATTAATAATTCTTTTTTTTCTTTTTTTTTTCAGAAAATAAATATTTTGTAAAACTCTCTTAAAATGAATTATGAATTGCTTTTAATTTCTAGTTTTGTGTACGTGACCACACAACCACAGAGTTTTAACACGGAAATGAAAGCAAAAGTATCAGATTAATGTCAATATTCTTTGTCAATTAACAAAACCTTTAAGATATTAATATTTACAACTATTTTATATCACACTTTTCTGCTTTCCTTATACATTTCATTTTGTGATCTGAGCCTCGTCATACTTGCTTTAATTGTGCAAATGACAAATAAACTGTACTTGACTAAATAACATTGTCAGATCATATGTAGAATATGATCTCACTAAATTAAGATTCCTTAAGTAATTTTATTCATTTTAAAATCGTAATAAACTCTTTTACTAAGTAACCTTTATATGTTTTTATTATAATGCAATGTTTCAATAATAACTTTAGTATTTTGACGTAAACATAGACCGGCTAATTGGCTAACGAATGATCTGTTCATTGCAGCAGAGCTATCACTGCAAAAGTCAAGAAATTAAATATAAGACATACACATATTGTGTTGTGTTGATCAGCATAAATACAGCAGTATCTGTATTTGTTTAAGTCTTATTGACTATCATTAGTAACTCACCTATAGGCAGCAGTGGGGAAACGTCAGCCTAACTCCAGCATGCAGAGAATCCAACGCTTCATCAGCGCTGCCGTAAAGTGATGTAACCAGTCGCAAAGCGCATCCGTCTGACGCAATAAATATGTAACAGCCTAAAGTCTCCGATAGAGGCGCTATTAGCTACAATTACTGTACACTCAACGTTATGATGTAAGCCGCTGGAAATGAGAACCGATAGGCAGCGTACAAATGAAATAATGGAAAGATTGCTTATCTTTTCTTTAACGTTGCCAGTTAAGAACATTATTATTTTTTAAATATAGAGATAAAAGTATTGACAACAATTGAAATGTTATTATTTTGATGAGCAAATGTAATATCCACAAATTTAATTTCATAAGCCTTAGGGTCCAGGGACCCCCAGGGGACCCCAAGGGAGTGCTAGGTTTAGAGAAAGTTTAGAGAAACTGTGGTAAAAAATTTACAAAAAAATAAATAAAAATACGATTAAAATAAATGAGTAAATAATAAATAAATAAAAGCAAGTTAAAATAAATGAGTAAAAAATTCAAAAGGTAAATAAATAAATAAATACATCTAACAGTACAGTAGCCTACTGCAATGAGTAGGGAAAAAATAATAATGTAACAATGGAAATTAAATATGACATTTTTTCCAAGTAATATTTTAGATATAATAACATACATTTCGCAGCACTGGGGTCTTGCAAGAATTTAGGTACCTTTTAAATTTTAGGATGGGAGTCTCTCACACAAGTATCATATTTGGAGATCTGTGAAAACTCCTCACAAGAATGGGAAAAATCGGCTATAGTTAAAATTAAGATTCCTTAAGTAATTTTATTCATTTTAAAATCGTAATAAACTCTTTTACTAAGTAACCTTTATATGTTTTTATTATAATGCAATGTTTCAATAATAACTTTAGTATTTTGACGTAAACATAGACCGGCTAATTGGCTAACGCATGATCTGTTCATTGCAGCAGAGCTATCACTGCAAAAGTCAAGAAATTAAATATAAGACATACACATATTGTGTTGTGTTGATCAGCATAAATACAGCAGTATCTGTATTTGTTTAAGTCTTATTAACTATCATTAGTAACTCACCTATAGGCAGCAGTGGGGAAACGTCAGCCTAACTCCAGCATGCAGAGAATCCAACGCTTCATCAGCGCTGCCGTAAAGTGATGTAACCAGTCGCAAAGCGCATCCGTCTGACGCAATAAATATGTAACAGCCTAAAGTCTCCGATAGAGGCGCTATTAGCTACAATTACTGTACACTCAACGTTATGATGTAAGCCGCTGGAAATGAGAACCGATAGGCAGCGTACAAATGAAATAATGGAAAGATTGCTTATCTTTTCTTTAACGTTGCCAGTTAAGAACATTATTATTTTTTAAATATAGAGATAAAAGTATTGACAACAATTGAAATGTTATTATTTTGATGAGCAAATGTAATATCCACAAATTTAATTTCATAAGCCTTAGGGTCCAGGGACCCCCAGGGGACCCCAAGGGAGTGCTAGGTTTAGAGAAAGTTTAGAGAAACTGTGGTAAAAAATTTACAAAAAAATAAATAAAAATACGATTAAAAATGAAATAAATAAAAGCAAGTTAAAATAAATGAGTAAAAAATTCAAAAGGTAAATAAATAAATAAATACATCTAACAGTACAGTAGCCCACTGCAATGAGTAGGGAAAAAATAATAATGTAACAATGGAAATTAAATATGACATTTTTTCCAAGTAATATTTTAGATATAATAACATACATTTCGCAGCACTGGGGTCTTGCAAGAATTTAGGTACCTTTTAAATTTTAGGATGGGAGTCTCTCACACAAGTATCATATTTGGAGATCTGTGAAAACTCCTCACAAGAATGGGAAAAATCGGCTATAGTTAAATATTAAGAACCTGTATGGTGCAATATATTTGTATGTTATACATACATTTTTATTTTAAACCACTTAATAAAGGATTCACTTTATAATCATATTTTATTCACATAAATGACTCGTCATATTAAAAGATTACAGCCAGGTGCTGTTCTAATAATAAGTGATGGTACATTAAAAATGTTTTCCTCAACTTTGCACCTTTCTGCGCAGTTTATAGTGTTATTCAGAAGACTTACGTTGATTACCTTGAAGAAGGTCTTGTGCTATAGATTAAGACTATAAATGACAGGGAGCATGACTCACAGAGAAGAGGTTTTATTGCAGAATATAAACCATGACACAGCAAGGTCTTTGTATGTCAGATGAAACGACCAAAATTTCACAACAATTACATAATCTTTCTGACACTTAAAACATAAACATTTCTCAGCACCTTGAAAGAGTTGCAAATCACCCTGCACCTTCCTTTTTTAAAAACATTAGGAGGTTTATAGGTATTTTAAGGCAGAAAGTAAAACAGAGGTTTCATGATTCATAACCACATGCCATATGGTTAATATTCAGTGCGCAGTCTGACTCTACAGAGTGCATAGGTCAGGTTCTGGAAATAAAAATCCCATTCAGTATCTCCATAGAGGGATTGATTTTAACAATAACTTGTAAATTTTTTTAAAGACAGACCTACTGTGAGCTACAAGATTGTTAATCAATATCATTTATGCCTTTGCTGCAGCCATTAGTGCGCATTGTTTCTACTTAATTTTTAAAGGATCAATTCCAACTGTGGAATTCATGGTGAAAAACTACATTAAGATTCTGCAGAGAAATCTCCACCATTCAGATAACTGAACCAAGAAAATTGCACCATTTGGCTGCCCACCTCCATGAAACACTGAGAATGACATAATTTGCACATATATGCATATATCGCAATAAATGTAAAATATATGTTAAGTATACAGTCTTGTACTTTTTAGTCAGATTTTCAAATACCTTTTCTTTAAATCAAAGTTTGTAATGTTATGATTCACCTCATAGCTGGTTCCACCCTGCACCTTCCTTTTTTAAAAACATTAGGAGGTTTATAGGTACTTTAAGGCAGAAATTAAAACAGAGGTTTCATGATTCATAACCACATGCCATATGGTTAATATTCAGTGCGCAGTCTGACTCTACAGAGTGCATAGGTCAGGTTCTGGAAGTAAAAATCCCATTCAGTATCTCCATAGAGGGATTGATTTTAACAATAACGTGTAAATTTTTTTAAAGACAGGCCTACTGTGAGCTACAAGATTGTTAATCAATATCATTTATGCCTTTGCTGAAGCCATTAGTGTGCATTGTTTCTACTTAATTTTTAAAGGATCAATTCCAACTGTGGAATTCATGGTGAAAAACTACATTAAGATTCTGCAGAGAAATCTCCACCATTCAGATAACTGAACCAAGAAAATTGCACCATTTGGCTGCCCACCTCCATGAAACACTGCGAATGACATAATTTGCACATATATGCATATATCGCAATAAATGTAAAATATATGTTAAGTATACAGTCTTGTACTTTTTAGTCAGATTTTCAAATACCTTTTCTTTAAATCAAAGTTTGTAATGTTATGATTCACCTCATAGTTGGTTTGGTTTTATGACTTATAACTCTTTAACAAAGACTTCTCTATGGGAAAATATAGGAAAAATACTTACGGAACCAAGGTCGCTGAAAAAAGTGGGAGGGAACTTATGCACTCTATTTGGGGTGTAATATGCAAATAAGGTATCTAACACAAGCATAAACATGCATTTAAGTCTATTCACCGATCACTTCAGATTTGAGCAATTCAGGTGTTTGCAATTCAGATGATTCCCCTGAGCTCCCTCCAAAAGCCTCCTGGACATTGGATATTGTACTATCCACTACTCCACCGATGATGGATGCCACAATTTTGAGCAGCTGGCCCACCCCCCTTCCACTTCTCCAGGTAAGTTTGCCAACCCCACTTCCCACTGTTGACACCTGGTGGCCCATTTCTGAGGATACGGCACATAGGTAATCAACCATCTGATCCCAGACTGACCCGAGTGTCATCCTGATGATCCTAAATCCATTCCCCACCGTTCCTGTCATGATCCCCAAGGAATCCAATGCCAGAGTGCCCATCCCTATAAATCCCTCCTGGAACGCCATGAACAGGCTGCCGGCTAACGGACTGAGGCAGGAGTAAGCCGTGCACACACTTGTTTCTCCTGTCTGGTACAAGATGTTCAACACGCATGAAATGCCAGAAGACACTCCTGAGCCCAAGTTGTTGACCAAAGTGTAGCTGTCACCAGGCACAGAGGCCAGAACAGCCAGATCTTCCTGAAGAATGTAGGTTAGCTGGAAGGGAAGGTTAATGGCTCTGTTTACGATCGGGGAGAAAGGGGCATAAAGGAGAGAGACGGTGGAAGACAAAACATAGAGGAGGACAGACTCTGATCTCTCCATCTCATTGGTGCTCTCCTGAATGTCCATGTCTGAGCTCAAAGAAGATATGTAGCTTGGAGCTTCACCATTAACATGCTCCGAAGTCACTATCTCTATTCCTGATTCTGATGTCTCTGCTTCCTGAGAGTTGTGTTCGCCAATGTGTTCTTCCCTTTGCACATCAGAGTTGGGTGTTTTGATGCCATTCAGTTGCTTTTTCAAGAGCGATGCAAGTTCCTCTTCGCTCTGATGTCCTACTTCACCACAACCTCCTGAAAACAGACCTGTAACTCCTATTAGCTCCTCCAAAGCCTTAATGCTGAGCACCTTCACGTCCCCATCCTTTACTAGCCCAACACTGAAACTACCATCTCCATCTGATGCAGCACAGCACACTGCTGACCACAACAGTTTCCCCCTGCACTCATTAAACCCACCCACACCAATCTGCACATACATTTCTCCGCTTGTCTTTGAACACATTGGTATGACGGAGCTCCGTATAAACTCTGCTGTCAGGGCATCCCATTTCAGAAGAGGGTAGCTATAATGGGGTGATGGGGTCTCATTTGTGGTTCCTCTGTAAAGAGCTGGGATGGCCACAGGGGAGTCATCATTGAGCTCTTCTTTGGCATCCTGCTGATAGGGTAAAAAAGACAGGTACAATTAATTGTTTAATTGCAAAAGTATACACTAAAATGCATTTCTCCACAATACAAATGGACAAAACTGCACAATATTTTACATTGTTCAAGGACTGTTCACCCAAAAGTGAAAATTCTAACTTAATTTACAGTGCTCACCTTCATGTCATTCCAAACCTATATGATTTTCTTCTGCAGAATGTAAAGATATATATTTTAAAGAATGTTGGGGTCCAAACAACAATGGACCCCACTGATCCTTCACTACTTTTTTTTTTTTTTTTTTTAATATCTTCTTTTTGTTCCCCAGATAAAAAGATGTAGTTTTGGAATGACATGAGGGTAAGTAAATAATGACAGAATGTTCTCTTTACACAAACAATTTGAAATTGTGAGTTTTTTTTTTTTTTGATAGAGACCAATTAGATTTTGAGGTGTGACTGAATGAAACAACCTGTTCTGAGTCAGTTTCATGAATAGCCTTGTTAAAAAAAAAAAAAGAGGCAGTCAGATTGTCTTAATGGGTTTGTTAGCATTCTGTATAACATCAATCTGTAAGAGTGGCCATAGTAAAGAAATTAAAAATCTTAAGAAAAAGTTTGAAATGTAATCTATATAGTGAAAAAAGTGAAAGTGATGTGACGTGGCCAAGTATGGTGACCCATACTCGGAATTAGTGCTCTGCATTTATCCCATCCAAAGTGCACACACATAGCAGTGAACACACACACACGTTGAACACACACCCGCAGCAGTGGGCAACCTTTTTTTTTTTTTTTGCTGCGGCACCCGGGGAGCAGTTGGGGGTTCGGTGCCTTGCTCAAGGGCACCTCAGTCGTGATATTGAAGGTGGAAGAGAGTGCTGTACATTCACTCCCCCCACCTACAATCCCCTACCTTTGGGTTACGAGTCCGACTCTCTAACCATTAGGCCACGAATTCCACATATATTGATGCTAGATGCTGGGGAGCTGCACCACATGGCATTTTACTACCAGAATTAACCTTGTCTTGTCATGAAAAGGTCCAATTATCTGGTATTTTAGGAGACTTATTGGCCGTGACACACAGGGTCTCCAGGGATGCTCTCTATGATGTAATTTCCTGTTTGTTTTCTGCATGTTGGTTGCAGAACAACTGATTTTGCAGACATGTTTTCCAAATTGTAGTAAGAAATGAAGCAATTTTGTAAAAATATTTTTAAAATGCAATTTTATTAGACATTTATTCTATGTAAATATGTATATATTTAAATATAAAAAAAATGTTTTTAAATGCAGTTCGTTCAAGCAGTGGAATACAACACTTCTATGATGAGCGCGTTTTTAATCTGTATATTAAAAAGGAAACCAAACAAATTGTTGATAATAATAAATAAATAATGTTCTTAAAAACTTTTGAAGTACAAATTAAAAACATGCTTATCACTGGTGTATTTGAGTCGGTGTCAGTGTATGAATTACATTTTTTATGTTTTTGAATAAATTAATAGAAATGACAAAAATAAGAACCATGATATTGATCCTACTAAAAATTATCCATGAAATGGTAAGATGTTTCTCTTCTACTTGACTTGACAGCCTTGTACACTTGCATATCAGCAGAAAATTTTATGAATGTTGTTTAGCAAGACTCCGCGGTCAAAAAGTCAGACATCTATAACCTGTGCTTACACTCATTCAGTACAATAGCTCTGCCCATAAGATAACAACCAACACTTCATCACAACAATGCATTTTTAGCAAACATATATGCTCAAATCTTCCTCTGAACTCTATACAAGCTCCAAGACAGTGACTAAGGGAGAGAAAAACACTGTCTCACCGTGCTCTGCTCTTCTCTGCCCCATCCATTATTCAAGCTGAAGTGAAGGGCTGTATAGACGGTGGTTTGGCAGTTGGTGTTATAGAGCGATGCAAAAGGCCGTCCGGTCAGATGTCTGTGACACCTCTGCTCCAAACCCAGCTCAGACAATAAGTGTGGAGGTGTGCCTCTGAAAAAACACTCTTGACACTGGAAGAAACCTGGATCAAGATCCGTGTGTGTACTTGCCTGGACCACAACACCATTAAACAGCACTGCAGAAATGAACACAGCAAGTCTGGGCAGAGCAAACAGCATGGCTGAAACCCTCAGTACAACGAGGCAGAGACTGCAGCTAACAGCGCTGAACTAGCAGCTCTCTCTCTCTCCCCTCTCTCTTCGGCTATGCAGAATGAGTCTGAGCACAATCTCACCTTCTTCATCCCTCCCCCTTTCACTCTCTCACTCTCTTTCATCCATCCCTCCCTTTCCAAATCACACTTTCTGACTACACCTCATTTTAGTATTGCTATAATGCACACAAACCAGTGCACACACCTCTCACACGCCTTAAAGACTACCTGCGTGTCAGCATTCCCCCACATCAACACTACAGCATGCCATTTTTGCAGCTAAAGTCATTTTTACGGCCAAAAGAACATTCTGACACTGTCTACATGCCAAACAGAAGAAAAATGTTCAGTCATAAATATGAAATTTCACAAATCAGAGGTGGTGTATGAAAACAGGTGCTAGTGTATTGACTCAAACTACTCAACAAAGAAAGAACAGACAGAAACACAGGGAAACATTTTAAATATTTAATAAAAATAAAAAAAATCAGAGAACATTAAAAATACATTAAACAAAAATGATATTTTGCTTGCAGTTTCATTTAGCACCTGTGTGAAGAAAGAAAGAGATTTTAATTGCATTAATTTAATATATTTTATTAGAGGCATAAATAATCCTGGTAGTAAACTGTTAGAGGTACTGTCATGTCTAGTTTTTGTTCAGATGGTGTGTGTTTGCCTGCTTAATAATCCCACAGAAACTTGCCTGGGCTAGTGTTGATGTGCTCCTGGGTAAAATGGGTGTGGCTCTCTCAATCTCAGTGTGTTTTTCTCTCTATTGTCCAGAGAGAACCCCCCCCCCCCATTGTCTAAATGTTGTCGTGCAGCTATGCAACTACACATTTAAGGCACACTTAAAGGTAATACACTGCAGCTCAGCAGTCTTTAAAAAAATAAGCCTATCGAGTATCCACGATGAGTCAGGAGTTTTTTTTTGCAACTCAAGTCTGTTATACAACTAAACGCCAACTTAACACAGATCCAATTTTCTTAATGACAAATCACAAAATCTCCAATTTCTCACACAGGATAAATGGAGTACCTGCCTATCTGGAAGGATCTGAATGATCTAATAATGGGTTTATGCAAGGTGTGCAAAACAGGTTCACAAAACAGGGCCTCAAAAATAACAAACATTTCTGGTTGTCCTGCTAACACTTTCACCAGCCCCACTACAAATAAAATGATAAATTATTATTATTAATTATTATATTTGCTAGAAAACATTTTTTATATTTTCACTAAATGTTAAGCATTCTTTTACATTTTCCCCCACTATTTTTTCTCTATTATTTAACTCAATAAATCCATAAACACTCTTTTCCTAGAAAGCGATGAAGCAAAACATCTGTAGTTTTCAACACATTCATACCAAAACAAAAGTAATTTTTGCCACATATACACTACTGTTCAAAAGTTTAGGGTAAGATTGTTTTACTTAAAAGAAATGAATACTTTGACTGACCAAGGATGTATTCAATTGATTAAAAATGACAGTAAAGACTTTTACATTGTTACATAAGATTTCTATTTCAAATAAATAATTTATTTTGAACTTTCTATTCATCAAAGAATCCTGAATAAAAAATGTATCATGGTTTCCACAAAAACTGACAAAAAAAACACTGGCAATTTAAAAAAATGTTTCTTGAGCAGCAAATCAGCTTATTAGAATGATTTCTGAAGGATCATGTGACACTGAAGACAGTAATGATGCTAAAAATTCAGCTTTGGCATCACAAAAATAAGATATATTTTAAAAATATATATAAAAATAGAAGACAGTTATATTAATATTTTTATAATATTTCTGTTTTTCTGTTATTTTGATCAAATAAATGCAGGACTGGTGACCACAAGTGACTTTTTTCAATAATAGTGTATGTTAACCAGCTAGATAACATTATCTTGCCATTCTTATTGTTGAGCTCTGGAAAAGCAACTTGTGTGTATTTTGGATTAAATTAAAGCTCCTGCTAAATGCTCACAGCAGCCTGTGTTTGTCTATTACCTTCACTCATTGGGTATGTCAATAACCAGCTCTGCCTCATCACCCTCTCCTCTCTCCTCCTCTCCTCGATCACTCTCTCCTTCACTCTCTCCCTCCTCCTCGGCTGCATCCTCACTCAGCATCTGCTGTGGGACCCAGCTGAACGGCCCACTCGCACCCCCAGCTGCACCACTGCCTGCAGGGTAACTGGATGTGAGTGGGCCAACCACCTGAATAAGAGGGCGAAGCAGAGAAATGTTTGTTATTAGACTGCAAATCAAAAGCATATGTAACTAAAATGCATAAATAGAAATGTGTTAATGTAACTGTAAGATTATTACAAGACATGACAAACAGTGGAGCAATAAAAGCCACATGAATCTAGGCCATTGCGTTTCTGCCGTTAACCTCTCTGTCCCTCTCTCACCTTCCCTGAACAGTCTTTCCTGTGTTTGGCCAGTTTTGTTTTTCTCTCTTTCTTCACTCGCTCAGCAGAGGGAGCCAAATACTCAGGAGGGAAGGGTAACTGCTCACCCAGAATCACACACACACACAAGGCCACCAAAGAGTAACAATCATTCCCACAAGCACACCCAGAGTACCCAGAGTGATGTGTGTGAAGTCCATGTAAACCAGGTGAGGTGATACAAAGACAAAAAGAGAGAAAAAAATGAATAAAATGACAAATTAACAGGTGACAAAAACAATGTGACTAACTGAAAAACATGAGTGAAGTACATGTACAGTATGAGACATGGGAGCGCACATGGAGGTGTGATGTACTCACAGTGTTGAGGTACTGTGCCGGAGCAGATGACTGGAGAGGAACCGCACCAGAGCGAGACAGGAATGAGAGATGAGGAGATGAGGACGAAGGGACGGGAGGAACCCCAGGACTCCTCCTTCTAAAAAAAAACAAATCAATAGATTTATTGAAGACACAGAGCTATAAAAGTTTTTTAAAAACACGGCAAAAGCAGAGGTGACGTATGCAAAGGACATGTTTGGTTGACAAAACTTGGAAAAGAGCAAAACAGAAAAGTCGCCACACCTGTCTCATATGTGATTTAATCTAGCCACAAACAAAATTTCAAACAAATTTGTCATTTTAGTTGAGTGTGTTTATTTAATTAACCTAAGATATGTGCCTCACTAACTCTACATCAATTTTCTTTTTTTTTCTTAATTGCATTTAGCATTCATAATTTATTCAAAGCTATTCAAAAGTGCATTTTCTGTCACTACCTATAAGTTTCTATGTTCTATGAAGTCTTGTGCATGTACAATTTTGTGCTTTCTCAAGTCTTTTCCAATCGGATGGTTATTTCTTTTAAGCAGCGTGTAACTGGCAAATTTAAAATTTTTAAGCTTAATGGATGATTGAAAGGTAAATACACACAGAGTTTGCACTACAAATGCAATGCAGTCTTATGTAATTCTGACCATGGCAAAATTCAAAAGGCACACATGCATTCAAATGTTTATTCAACAACCCATTAAAGGTCTCTATACTACTGTAGGTCGGTATGATTTTTAAAAAAATGTTTTTTATGTTCTTTTAAGCAGCGTGTAACTGGCAAATTTAAAATTTTTAAGCTTAATGGATGATTGAAAGGTAAATACACACAGAGTTTGCACTACAAATGCAATGCAGTCTTATGTAATTCTGATTTCTGATTATGTAATTCTGAAAAAAAAATGTTTTTTATGTTTAATAAAGACATCTCTTATGCTCACCAAGAATGCATTTATTTGATTAAAAAAAACAGTAAAACAGCAATATTGTAAAATATTACAATTTCAAAATAAATGATTTCCATTTTAATGTATTTTAAAATGTGATGTATTCCTGTGATGCAAAGCTGAATTTTCAGCATCATTACGCCAGTCTTCAGTGTCACATGATCCTTCAGAAATCATTCTACGGTAATATGCTGATTTTGTGCTCAAGAAACATCATCTTATTATTATCAATGTTGAAAACTGTGTAGTATTTTTTGTGAAAGCTATGACAATTTTGTCAGGATTTTTTGGTGAATAGAAAATTCAAAAGATCAGTATTTAAAAAAAAAATTATAATAATGTAAGTCTTTACTGTAACTTTTGATCAATTTAATGCATCCTTGTAAAATAAAAGCATTAATCTTTCAGAGCCAAAATTTTGAATAGTAATTTATACAGTTCAATAAGGTAAAATTGGTCAAATCCCCCCCAAAAAAGATTCACTTGCTGCAAACTCACTTCTTCCCTGCTTCCCTGGCTCCTTCTCCATCGCTGTCTGAGGAAACTGTTGCATCAGAGTCTGGAATCAAAAACACTCTTAGCTCACAAAATTCCTTGCAGATCCCTAGAGGTTTGTAGACAAGCATTTTCATTAGAGACCTACCAGAAGACTCTTCATCCACCCTTTCATACTGCAACAGTCTGTCCAACAGAAAACTGACACAAACAGAAGTGTTTAATTCTGATGCATGTAGGTCAAACAAGGGTGAAGCATTTGATAACTGTGCTAATAAGCTTACAGGTTCTACCTTTTGTCTCTAGAAACTTTTAATAGTTTCCTCTGAGCTCTTCTCAGCTCCTCCTGAAAACACTCGTGCTCCTGAACAGAGAAATGAAGACAGAGGGTAACAATCTAAAATGACAAATACAAAAAAAAGAACATTGACGAAAAAAATACTCACATATACCAGAAACTTTAATTTGCGTTTGATATTTTTGTATTTTCTCTTGTAATCCACCTCTACTTCAGCTTGCCCGTTCATTTCTAAAGCTTAAACGAAGATATACCGTCGTTTTCAAATGGTTTTGCTAGTTTATATGGGTTCGACACCGAAACTGTACTGTTGTCCTCCAAATGTTAATGTCTATGTTTGTCCAGAAATTTTAAAAACTAATGCTGCTCTGCTAGCCATGCTAAAGCTGCATATTCAGCAAGCTAAAGAATGAACAAATTATGTATTTGTAAAGTATAACAATAAAGTTAGACTCCACAAATTATAATGTAATAAACTATACTATGCCAAACAAAATTACAGGACATTTAACAATGACAAAAGAAACACAGACTCTCGCGCATGTCAGGTAACGTTACTGTGCTGAACCGCGATGTGCTCTTTGTTTACTTCCGCTTTCAACGTAATTCGTACAGGAAACGGTTTTTGCAGTCATTAGTCAATCTCTCACTAGAAAATGTATTTCTAAACAAATGCTGATTTCAAAGTTCACCATATTGCGTGAGTATCCTTGAGTTGTTTGGTTCTTTCTCGACAATCCTTTGTTAGAGCACATCCCCATAAAAATAACAACAACATATAAAATTCAGTTCACATTAATAAATCCATTAAAATTAATTATATACACGTAATAAATGTAATTAAAATTAAAACTAAACAAAAATGTAATTATTTCACTGTAGCCAAACCAGGGGGGTCGGTGTCCACTAGGGGGCCTCAATAAACTTCACATCACAATTGTTTTTTATTTGTACCCCCAAGTCTTTTGATTTTATTGGAGAACATATAATTTATGATTAAAAAAAAAAAATTATGTATATATATATATATAATAATAATAATATAATAATAATAATATTATAATTGAATCAAATTTAAATTAAGTATTAACAAAGACTAATAAACATAAAGTTACTGACACTCCTACTTTCTTTTTTAAATGTTTAACAATAAACAGTTTTATCATTATTGCAGTAGAATTACCAGAGAAAATATCTTGGGCCCCTTGGTCTCAAAGAAGAGAGAGAGAGAGAGATGCCCAATATCATTAAGTTCTAAACTACAATTTTGAAGTGTCTTGTAAGTACACTGTATGTGCTGCATGTGACTGTGCATTAAAATGATGGCACTCTCCCTTTTACTGAATCTGCATCCCAGCAGTCAGACACTCAGGACAGGTCCATAAATAATACATTGCTTTGGTTGAGCAGTTTTCAGAGAGAGAGAGAGAGAGAGAGAGAGGTGACGTATTCCACAAAGGATTTTTCTTGTCATACAATTCTGCCCTCGACTATTCCACAGAAATATTTGAAAAATCTTTGCCTGACAGACTGCTCTTTATGAAACATAATCTTCCTTTGTTTGCACATACAACACAGGCACATAGTCTTTCTTTCTTTGCTGTTATATATCATTTGTGCATTTACACATACACAGAAACAAATCTTGTGTCAGACCCCTTACAGAGTGAAATATAAGCCCCTCACCAGCCCTTCTGTCTGTCTTGCTGCCTGTAATAGTCTGCCTCTGTTCTCTGACGTTGGCTCTTGTTGCAGACAGAAATAGAATATCTCTTCCCTCACTTCCATAAATCGCTGGTGTGGTGCAGTGAGACAGCTGTGGACCCCACAATACCTCCCTTTGCTTTTCTCCTCTTTTGTTTACATCCTATTATGTAAAGTCAGAGCCATTCCAGATATTATATTGTATTTATTTTTAAAGTAACTTGTTTAGATCAGTCGAATGTGTTGGTCACCTCCAGCCTCTGAACCAATCAGTCTGTCGCCCTCCTTTGATATATTGCCCTCATATTGCCTTTGTCCTTCCTCTCTCTCTCTCTCTCTCTCTCTATCTCTCTGTAAGTGTCTTTCTAATACACATCTATCACTCAGCTTGGTTTAACCCCTCACACGCACACACATGTGAGATCCCAGAGTTCTGTCTGCTTTGTTCTGACAAGGAAAACTGGAATGCACACAAATCACATGAAGGACACAAAGAACAACTTTAACAACTCTCTCCTTGGTGCCAAAAAGGTAAGAATAAAATGTCACCTTCATACGTCATGGCAAGGTGAAATACACAGTGTGAACTGTTTCTATTTCTAGAAGGTTCGAAGTGAGACAAGTGTTTGAACGTGTCATTTGGAATAAAAGGAAAATCTGTTGTTTAGGATTGCATTTAGGGCTAACTATGCAAACAGTGTTATAATCTAATTAGTGTACTTACTAAGTCAGCTTATTACACTACAAACTGATTTTGTGCCTGCTTGTGTTTCAGGAGAAGCTTATTCAGGCGATTAAAAAGATCAAACATGAAATTGATGAATGTAACGAAGCTGAGAAAGAGGCCTTTGTGGACGCACTGGAGGTCGAGGTACTGCCTGATTTACCTTGGTAATATTTATATGACTAAATGAGTATTAATGGCCTTTTCTTACTGGCTGACATGGAAAGATAACTCACAAAATAGAAATATGTGTCAATATTAAAAAATAAACTCTGGCAATGGGATCACCCCTTCCAAAAATATATAGAAGCTATATATTTTCATGATTAAAGATGTGTTTACACTGTAAAGTTAACAATATTATAAAATATGTAAAATAGAATCCAGTATTTACTTTCTGATAATATGACATTACTTCTTTTTTTTCAACCCACCATTTCCATTACTGAAAAAATAAGGCTCTGGCTGTCATGTGATAAAGTTTTAGAAAACATTTTATTTCTATCTATCTATCCTATTTTCATCTTCTTTTCATCTTCTTTTTTTTTCTTCAGACCCCCAGCACCATTTTAGAGCTTTTTATATGGCCCATTCAGAAACAGTAAACATTCATATTTAATTAACTCTTGATGCATGTCATCATGTCATCAAGTTGTATAAATTCTACAGCATGTAAAATTCTTAATGAACAATTTCTGGTAATAAATTTGAGTAATAACTTCATTATTAAGCTAATCTCAGCCTGCTCTTTTCTCCAGAGTTATTAGTCTCTATTCCTTCATGTTTCTCATTAAGTCATTAATGTCTCTTTTTTCTGCTCTTTCGCAGAACAGATTTGAAGAGATAGAACATGAAATTCGAGCAGAGTTCCAAAACCTCCATCGTTTCCTGGATGAGGAGGAAGAGACAGACCTGGAGCGGCTAAGGAAGGAAAGGGACAAACAAGTGAAGATCTTAAAAGAGAGAGAGAGAAAGATTGCCATGCAGAGTAGAGATCTAGAGAAAGCCATTGAGACACTGAACTGCAAACTGCGGGAAGATGACAGCCCAAAACTTTTGAAGGTGGATTTCCATTTTAAGTTGTCTGACAGACTAAGCAGTAAAATCTTTATCTTTAAGCTTTAAGTAGTGTAGTGACCTGCACTGGGAGAGAAACAATTCCTTATCCTTATGGATTGTCTAATTTAAACAAAGTTTTTTATTTTATTTTATTATTGTGCATTTAACTACTAGAAATCATCTACTCTGACCACATCACATATTTACTGTGAAATACTAACAGGGTTAGTTTCATAGTTCATGCAGTTGACACCCACAGAACATGCTAGATGCCATTTGACGCTGTTCAGATCAAGTGCCTAAACAATCACATGATTGAAAGAGTGAGGAATCTTAAGAGCTGACTGCTGCATTCAGGCAGCGAAACATGACTTTGAATCTGAACATTCTTGCTCTAAACACTATATTTTTAAATCCATTTAGGAAATCAAAGAGCTTCTGAAAAGGCAAGTGTCTTTTCTATTTATTCTTACTCACTTGGTCTCTGATTCTCATATAATCATAATCATTGTTGTTACTTTTCTCATTCTGTTCACCATCTACCTCTGTTCTTGTTCAGCTATCATTGTTTATCTTTATCAGATGTGAGGTGAATTTCATTCGTCCTCCCCCAATAGACAGCGAAATTCTCTCTGGTCAGTTTGTGGGGCCCATTCAGTACCGGATCTGGAAACACATGAAAACATCCCTCTACCCAAGTACTAAGACTAAATATTAAATAATATCATTTTATTAAACATTTTAATTTCCTTTACAGATCAAATTCTCACTATAGTGGTGGTGATTAGGTTCATCCCAGTGACTCGAATCTTTTGAATCAGTTCATCAATGATTCGTTCAGTGATTATTTCTGCAGGTTACATCAAACAAAGTGTTTAAAGCATTCCGTGCGTCCGAAATTGTGTACTGTCAGAGTAGATAACACATTTGAATTTAAACTTACTTTGCAACCATTAAAAAGTATGCTCTATATAGAATGAATATGGGTAATATCATGAATGAAATTCTGACATATTATGTCCGCCATGTTGTTACTATTATGTGACCTACCAGCATTAGTTGCATTGTTTCACTGCCATTCATAAATGCTCTCCCATGGCCTCATGGGATAGTAAAAGCATTAACGCCATGTCGTAATTACTGTAATTCCAAGATGACAACACGTGACGTACTACTCTGAGCTGAATTATGTGTTTCTATGGCAACACTATCAAAGCCAAAGCGCTCACATGCTCGCAGAACTCGTACTTACAATTTGTAAGCTCGGAATGTTCTGAGAGCTACAACTTGGACCACATGACTGCTGTACCACCTAACCGCAGCCAGATTCATTTAGGCCCTACTTAGAGGCTACCCACGAGTTTGAGGACATGGACAGCACCGAGTAGAACGTCACGTGTTGTCATCTTGGAATTATGGTGTCCATGAACTGCACAGAATCCAGGCGGAAGTAGTAGGTCATCTGGGTACTTTTCGCCTGCTTTTTTTCAAATACTATGAATTCAGACATACCACACTTTTCCCCTACTACTGTATAGTAGGGAAGCCTATTTGATTTTGGATGCAGCGATTGTGTTCATTCAAGCCGATCAGACGCAAATCACTAACTTGTTCAGTGAAGGAAGTACACACAGTACGGTCATTCAGTAGAATGAATGTATGATTTGCTACTTCAAAATGCTCGCATGCTATTACGTGCTATAGTCAGTCATTGAAAGACAAAAAGCCATGTTCTTCAATCAGGAGACTCTAAAAGAAGAAAAATATAAGTTAGTTTGAGAAAGAGGATGAGAATAATTCATTAAAAAAAAAAAAATCTTTCACAAACGAAACACCACTACTAGTCTAGTAACTGTAAGTTAAATGTGCATTGTTTGTTACATTAAAATTAGTGTACTACATATTACTAATTAATCTGACATAAATCAATTCTGAATGACTTATTTGCATACACAGACATATCAACGTTGACTTTTGACCCTGAAACGGCACATCCCCACTTGACCTTCTCTGCTGAGAGAACTTCAGTGACGTTCGAGGAAGACAAGGTGCAGCCTAACGAGAACCCAGCCGAAAGGAACCCGAAGCGCTTCCACTTCTATTATTGCATGATGGGGTCAGAGGCCTTCACTCATGGCCGTCATTACTGGGAGGTGGAGGTGAGAGGCAAGACCGCCTGGCGAGTGGGTGTGGCCAGAGCGGACATACCCCGTGGAGAGATGGACTCTTCCTCTACGTTAAACGGACTGTGGACACTGTCCCTCAGAAATGGCTCGATCATGGCCTGCACCCACCCAAAGCCCACAAAGGTGCTCTCATACACCCTCCCCATCCGCATCGGCATCTTCCTGGACTGTGATAAGGAGGAGGTGTCTTTCTATAATACTGTCACCATGACGCCACTCTTTTCTTTCTACATGGGGACTGTTCTAGTGCCGCTCTATCCATTTTACAACCCATGTGACACAGATGAAGGAAAGAACAGCGCTCCTCTTTCCATATTTCATCCATCACTCTGAGGGATTGACATAGGTTTGGTTTTTCCACTTACTGCTGACATAGTTTGAAACGCTGAATTCTGATCACCTCAAAGTTTGTATGCCTGGAAAGCTAGAGAGCAATTTTTGCTGTGTAGTTGTGTTTGGATCAACCATTTAAGTAACACTAAACATTAGCTGTATCCGAAATCGACAACTAAACTCATTCACTATTCCCTACATTACGCCACTAATATACTTTACTGAATAAGTGAAAGAAAATGAGTGGGCAAATTCATTCATGTTTGTTCATTCATTATTTAGGTGCATTATGGGATTAAATGAGTACACTATAATATCCACTATGCTTTTAGACATCACTGCAAATAATGCACCATATGGGGCGATTTTGGACACAGCCAGTGAGATTTCCTCTATAGACAGTTTATGGGGTCCATTCAGTTCAGGGTCTGAAATGACGTAAAAAGTAACATTGAGATGAGATTTTTTGGCTGTGCAGTTCTTTATAGAACCAATATCCCTTATTTGTAAGGAATATTTCACTCAGAAATGAAAATTCTGTCATTATTTATTTGTTTCAAAACTGTATGCCATTACGGATTGATGTCATGATGTTGGTTATGAGACTCTCGAAAACCAGTGAGCTTTGAATTTATTGACGTCCAGCCTGAACCATATTTGATTTGAGAGCTGCAGAGGAGGTGAAGATTATCAGTGAAAATAGTGTCCTTTTTGGAGCTTGACAGGCTGTGGTAACAATGAACTTTTGGTGTGTAAAAAAATTAAATAAGGAAACAAGAAGAAAATGAATTTATCCTACTTAAAATATATTTAAAAAATAAATAAATATGAGTTTGGAATGCTGGATCTCATCTAATCTCAGAAGCTACACTCTTAAAAATAAAGGTGCTTCAAAAGGTTCTTCAAGTGATGCCATAGAAGAACCATTTTTGGTTCCACAAAGAACCATTCAGTCAAAGGTTCTTTAAAGAACCATCTCTTGCTTACCTTTTTATAATCTGAAGAACCTTCTTTCACCACAAAGAACCTTTTGTGAAACAGAAAGGTTCTTCAGATGTTAAAGGTTCTTTATAGAACCATTTAGACAAAAAGGTTCTTCTATGGCATCGTGAAGCACCTTTATTTTTAAGAGTGTACGTAGGGTTTGGCTTGGTTAGTACTTGGATGGGAGACTGCCTGGGAATACCAGGTGTTCTGCCTGTGCTCTGTGATGGACTGACCATCTGTCCAGGGTGTTTCCCTGCTTTTAACCCAAGATGCTGGGTAGGCTCCAGCATCCCCATTACCCTACAGGACAAACAGTTTGGAGAATGGATGGATGGAGCTTGAAACAACATTAGGGTGAGTAAATAATGACAGAATTTTAGAGTGAATAATTATTTTTTTTTTTTCATATATTTGTATGCAAATAAATATAATACATGTAATCTTATCTTGCAGACTGTTTGCAAGTCACCTTTGTGCATGTGTTGTATCATAATAATGTGTTCTGGCACAATAAAACAGAAAGCCCTTTCACCACAAAGAACCTTTTGTGAAACAGAAAGGTTCTTCAGATGTTAAAGGTTCTTTATAGAACCATTTAGACAAAAAGGTTCTTCTATGGCATCGTGAAGCACCTTTATTTTTAAGAGTGTACGTAGGGTTTGGCTTGGTTAGTACTTGGATGGGAGACTGCCTGGGAATACCAGGTGTTCTGCCTGTGCTCTGTGATGGACTGACCATCTGTCCAGGGTGTTTCCCTGCTTTTAACCCAAGATGCTGGGTAGGCTCCAGCATCCCCATTACCCTACAGGACAAACAGTTTGGAGAATGGATGGATGGAGCTTGAAACAACATTAGGGTGAGTAAATAATGACAGAATTTTAGAGTGAATAATTATTATTTTTTTTTCATATATTTGTATGCAAATAAATATAATACATGTAATCTTATCTTGCAGACTGTTTGCAAGTCACCTTTGTGCATGTGTTGTATCATAATAATGTGTTCTGGCACAATAAAACAGAAAGCCAAGAAGAAGAAAAAGAAGAATTACATTTCTGTGCCTGCTGACATACTATTAATAGAAACTGTTTACAATTACCTCTGTATAAATAAGACATGTCTGTTGCATTTAGCCATGTCCGGGAACTACTTTGGAAACTATGTGCTGTTGGAGTGACAGAGAAGAAAACCAAAAGGGGGATGGTCCCTCTGCACCCTGCCAGCAACAGGCCGGGGAGAAGGAAAGAAAAAGCTAGAGAGACAGATGAGTGACTTTGAATGTGATTGACTGCAAGGGCAGAAAGCTCTTTTTTTCCTTCTTTTGCAGCCACAGCCAGGAGAGGCATGTCAGAGTGCTGTGCGCAGGCCTTTATAACTGCTTTATAAACCACACACCAAGACACATTTTAAAATCATTTATTATCATTTCTAGGCATGAAACAAAGGAAGTATCACTTCTTTACAAAATGTTTATGTGTTGTGTTTGTGCAAAAAGGAAGATCAGGGACTGATAAACTGTAGAGCATCACTCAGGTGGAATAAGAAGAGGAAAAGAGAGGCAGAAACCTCTCATGCACCTGTGGGACACAACTGCACGTTGAGTTTACTTGGAACACGCACAACACCACAGGACACTTGGGCTTCTCAAACTCTATACATTCTCACCGCTCATTTTCCTCACTCGTGAGCGATATGGCTGTCATGCACTCATTATTTTTGAGGGGGCACGAGTTGGGGGTGGGGGGGGCGTCATGTGACACACAGCAGCCACAACAGCTCTTATGTTTTATTTATTTTTTCCTTTTTATTCGAAACATTCCCAAACGCATTAACTATATCATGAAATAGCCTATCTTGACTCTCACCTTTATAGATTATGTTGATCTATAGAAGGCGATGGTCAAAGTAACCTAATAATGTAATCTATTATCTATGCATAAAAACCTGTCTGTTTACTTAATTAAGTGACGTGACATGTGGCCAAGTATGGTGACCCATACTTGGAATTAGTGCTCTGCATTTATCCCATCCAAAGTGCACACACACAGCAGTGAACACACACACACCGTGAACATACACCCGGAGCAGTGGGCAGCCATTTATGCTGCGGCGCCAGGGGAGCAGTTGGGGGTTCGGTGCCTTGCTCAAGGGCACCTCAGTCGTGGTATTGAAGGTGGGAGAGAGCGCTGTACATTCACTCCCGCCACCTACAATCCTTGCCGGTACGAGACTCGAACCCGTAACCTTTGGGTTACAAGTCCGACTTCCCCCCAGATATGGATGTGGATGTCATGACATATTTTTATTACGACTGAGTTTATATTTCATGTGAATTTAACATTGAAAGTTAGTTAGGCTACTAATCATAACACTTTCATTGTACAGAAAGAGAGCAAAGAACATTTACATGATCAAAGAACATTTTCACTGACAGTCTAGTTCAAGCACTCTCAAAAACTCCCATTAAAATCACTGAAGCTGTTTACACTATGAAATTAATATCTTACAGATTCGTACACACATTTGCACTTTGTTGTTTCTGACGAGAGAATTCGCCAGAAAGAGGTAGGCCAATTCAGTCAACGAGCGTGAAGAAAACACCGGCATTTTAGCGATGACTCATCTGAACACCTCTGATTGGTCATTGCATTCATAAGCTCAACAGCATCCTGTGTGATTGGCTAATGCGCAGTGCTGTAAAAACGCGTCTTTCTCTGGCTCAGCGCCAGCCAGCGAACACAGATTTGAATTTAGCAGCTGATGATATGACGGACTGAACGTTATAATCACGCTGGTATGACTGTATTAAATATAGAAAATATTAATTTGCTATTTTTTGTCTTTTGGAAGCTGAATTCAAAATCCACTTGGCTCAAAAATCGTTGAATGGGCATGACGCCTCTGATTCCATACCCACTGAATTCTGAGTTTGACTTAAAAGGGATAGTTCATCCAAATATGAAAATTATTTCATTTATCCATCCTCATGTCAATCCAAACCTGTATGACTTTCTTCTGTAGAATACAAGTTCAGTTGTTTTTGTCTATATTAAGAAAGTCAGTGGGGTTTAAAACAACACTCAATTCTACTGACTGTCATTGTATGGACAAAAAAATATTTTCAAAGAAAGTCTTTGAGTCTCAAGTTTTACTTTAGACTTAAGTTGTTCTAAAACTTTTTTAGAACAACATGAGGGTGACAGAATGTTCCTTTTTGGATGAACTATCCTTTTAATGCCCTTATAGGGTGTAAGGTATAGGGTGACACGTAGAATGCAACATTTTAGTGACATCCATGGAAGGGATGTTTTACACAATGGAATTGTCCAATCAGAGACCTGCAGAGCCGTGATGCATGAAAATCAGAGTACTTCTTTTAGACATCTACACACTACCTCCTACATATGCATGACCACACTAGCACAGATAGACACTATGGGAGCGTGACTCTATAGCATGCAATGACGATGCATCATTACTCTAGGGTTTGATTTTTTTTAAAGCGCTTCGAGCAAGGGAAAAATGCTATATTAACTAAATTACTATTCCATTGGTGTAGTCTTCAGCATCGATTAAATCAAAACTACCTGTAACGCGGCTATCTTGCTATCAAAAAAGATAGCAGTTGGGTACCACTAGACAGCATTGAGTCCATTCTGATAGAAATCTCTGTGCACTCCCTTAAATCTGAATTTAATACCACTTAAAAAGGAACAGCAATTACCAGCCAGCCGGGGAGAAAAAGGACATTGCTAATTGCATTGAAATGACAGCTATCCAATGGAGTTTCTTGCTAACACACTGACACACACAAACATACTCGCATGCACTTGTACAAACACATACAGGCCTCCTGATGTTGCCAATGATGAATAACATCTATAATCTCTCATCATAAATACCATATTGCACCCACATACATCAACACACAAAATACAAAAGCAGACAGTAATCATGTCATGATACAACACTAATATCAGTGGCAGTGTCCTGAAGGGTAATGCATATCTTAAGAATGATCTTCTGCTTTAAGACACTGATGATTCAGGGAGTGACCAGCAGAAAATTCATTTTGCCTGGAAACCTGTGTAATGTGCATTACCGGGATGCACTTAAGTGTGACATCATTTGCTGCACGAAAGTAAGGGCATGTGAAAGCAAGCTCATGCCTAACAGCCAATGGGATTAGCTGATGGGACCATGAGATTTATGCTACGCTAGGTTCGTAGTTTTTGTATTGTATAAAATAGGATTAAAACCCTGTTGTGTCTTCCTGTGAATCGTTGTGAGAAACTAAAGAATCTGGAACTTGAAGACCAAACTACAGAACCTCACAATACATACTTGAAAACAAGTTGTTATTATGCATGTGTACATGTACTGTATTGTGTGTGTCTGCACATTTTTATATTGTGTAGATATTCTTCATACCGACTCTCTCTCTCCAAACAGAGT